TAGAGTCCTAAATTGTAAAAAATGAGTCAGAGTAGTTGAAGGATGCTCCTAAAGTGTATCTTTTAAAATATTTTTTAAAAAGTTGTTTTCGTTTGGTTCCCCATCTTCAAGAAACATCAAGTCCTTTCTGGCTAGAGTCAACAAATAGGGCCAGGGACTTAGTTCTGTGGCGCAGCGCCTACCCCGGCAAGCATGACACCCCAAGTTTCATTCGCATCGTGCCAGTAGACACACTTCCTCCCTAAAGGCAACATCTGCACCCCGGCGCTCCCTCAGGCCGAGGGTGCCAGTGCCGCTCCAGTCCAAGTTTCCCAGCTCAGACATTTCCCATCCCAACCCTCGCACCCCAGTCCAAGAAGTTTGGACCACAGTCCCCATCCTGTATTTTATTTTTTCCTGGCCCTCTACCTTTATGTGGCACAAATTAAGAAGGAATTTGGCAAGGGAAGGAAAGGAGAGAAGAAGAAAAAACCTAAGCTGTATTAAAAATCAGCTGCATCTCAGGCCCCCTCCACGCCCCAGACAGTCTGTGGAAGGCTGGTGTTACTGTTCCAGTTTTCGCCAGGGGAGACTCTGGCTGGTGCAGCTCCGCGCTCTGCTCTAGACTTGACCCCCTTCCCTTTTCCTCTGCAAAAAAAGTGAAGACCGAAGCTCAGATTGATTAAACACTCGCCAAAACCAGGATTCTGAATAGATCTAACACTAACGTCCTCCACATTCCTTCTGTCACCCCAACTTGCCTATCCCGCGTGTTACATAATAAAAATTTTTGAGATCATTTGCATCTCACAGAATTCACTCAGTGGCATTGGGTGAAGTCACAAGGTTGTAATGGACTCACCACCATCTATTCCCACCCCAGAAGGAACCCTGGACAGATTGGCAGTCGCCCCCCTCTGACCCTCGCTGTAGTCTGAAACCCACCTTACGCATCCATGGATTTTCCTGTGCTGGATATTACACATTAATGCAATCAGACAATGTGTAGTCTTTCGTGTCTGACTTTTTTCACTTAGCATAATCTTTCAATAGCATTGCAGCATGTATTGGTATCTCATTCAGTTTTATAACAACCCGTTGGTATCACATTTTATTAACTTTTTGAAGAAATGCTAAACTTCTTGAGTTCGTGGATATTTGGGGTGTTTGCACTTCAGGACTATTATGAATAATGCTTTGGCATTCATGTAGAAGCATCTGTATGGACATGTTAATTTTTTATGTATATACCTAGGAGTAGAGTTCTTGGACCAAATAGTAGTAACTGTTTATTTTTATTTTTATTTTTTTAGTACTGGGGATGGAACCCAGAGACTTCACACTGAACTGTACCATCAGCCTTTTTTTTTTTTTTTTAATGTTTTTAATTTAAGACACGGTCTGGCTAAGTCACTAAGTTACCCCGGCTAGGCTCAAACTTGTGATCCTCCTGTATCAGCCTCCCAGAGGGCGAGGATTACGACCAGGCGCTATGACGTCAGGCTTGTATTGAAATGCTTTTTGAAATGCTGAGCTGTTTTCCAACATTCTGCATTTCCTCCAGCAATGATGAGTGCTCCACTGTCTCAGGGACCCTGCCCAACACTTGTCACTGTGTGTCATTAGATGATAGTCATAACAGCGTCTGTGTGGTTTCTCGATGTATTTTCTAATGACTAATGATGTATTTTCTAATGACTAAGGATGTAAGCCAGCTTAACGTTCAGTGGCAGTTTCTCTTACAACCTGCTATTAAATACTTTGAGTGACACAGAAGCTGTTTCCATCTTTCCCTTTCCTTTTTTGCTTTTTACTCCCTTTCTCCTTCCCCTGTTCCCTTCCCTCTCCAACATGTTCCGCCCATTATCTGTCCTCCGGTTTGCTCCTTGTTTAGCCTTAGAGTCTCCCACACAAGAGAGTCGGTGTGCTATTTAAACTTACGAGTCTTATTTATTTCACTCAAATGTACGGTCCCCAAGTGTTTCCATTTACCAACAAATGACTCAGTTCTACCCTTTATTGTAAAGCAGTACTCCATTGTGTATAAATACCACGTTTTCTTTATCTGTCCATCTGTTGATGGGCACATGGGCGTTTCCAAGGTTTATCTGTTAAAATTGCGCTGCTGTAACTACGAATATGCATATAGCACTGGCGTGATGCTTTCAACTGTTTCAGGAAGATCTCTAGAAGGGGAGCAGCTGAGTGAGATGGAATCTCTCATTTTAGTTTTTTAAAGAATCTCCATTCTGATTTCCCTAGTGGTTATACCAGTTTGCACTCCCACCAACAGTAGGGAAAGTTTCCTTTTTTCCCCACAGATAAGCCAGCATTTGCTATTGGTTGGGTTGTTTTTTTTTGTTTGTTTGGTTTTTTTTGTTTTGTTTTGTTTTGTTTTTGTCTTTTTCCTTTTTATCGGTACCAGGGATCGAACTCACGACTGCCTGCTTACAAGGCAGGCGCTTATGCCACTGAGCTAAATCCCCAGCCCCTATTGGTTGGGTTCTTGATAATGGTCATTTGTTCTGGAATGAGACAGAATCTCAGCATTGTTTTAATTTGCATTGTTCAAATGACTATAATACATACTTTTATTTACCAAATATGTGTTTCTGTTTTGTATATCATATAGATGTATAGGTTACGGCATAATATATGGTTTACATATATGGGACTGTCATAGATGTGGGGGGTTTTGTTGGTTTTTATTTGTTTTTTGGCTTTATATTTTAGCAAGTGCTAAACCAAAGTTTTGGTGTTTATTTGTTTGTTTTCTTTTTGTAGTGCTGAAGTTTGAACCCAGGGCCTCATGCACACTAGGTACCTAATTTATTTCTAACTTACTCTGCTTCCTAGAACAATTTTATATTTTTAGTTGAAAATTAAACATTTAAAATCATAATCTAGCAACTGCAGACACCTCCTCTCCCTGGGTTTGTCATTGTTACCGCTGCCCTGATTCCTGTCTGTTGCAAAACCTTCCCGAGTTAATTCTGTAAAGTCTGTATTCTTTATCACGTGTAGTCTCTGATTAGCTAATTTAGTGATCAACTAAAGAATAGATAGAAATTTCCTTAAATGTTTAAACCAGGAAATCTGTCTCCGCCAGTGCTTCTCTGTGTATAGTTCAGGTTGTGGCTTTGTTAGGTCGGCAGTTTACAGCTCTGACTTATCCCACACTTCCTGCTTGTACAGAGCCTCAAAATCAGCCAAAGGTGAGAAATTAGTGCTCTCTGGTCTTTCCTCTGCTCGTGCATATGGCCTTCTGGAGTCCCAGGAATTTGTATGAGGTTTTTAATCTTCTACAAACATTTTATATCCCAGTTTTTTTCTTTTGATTTTTTTTTTTTTCCTTTTGGTAGTTTTGACATAGGATCTCACTATGTAGTTCAGACTGGCACTGAACTCACTAGATAGCCTACATTGGCCTCAAATCCACAGCAATCCTCCTGCCCCAGCCTCCTGAAAGCTGGGATTACAGGATTGGGCCACCATGCCTGGCTTTTCTTTTGATATTTAACTCAGCCCTTTGTTAATACCAGCTGGATTTGCTGCCTTCAGAGATCTGCAATGTTTAAACATCCCCCCATGGTGGGGTGGAGGGCTGGACTGGGTGGGGGGTGCCAGATGCCTCAGCAATAAGGCTATTTGCACACAGAAAATTCTGAGTCAGTTCAAATAAAGCCAAGTTCTGAGAATGAAGCTTTAAAGGCAACTTCCAGACAGGTCACACTGTGACAGGTGTGTGAGGGTGAGGATTTATTTATATTTTAGCAAGTGCTAAACCAATGTTGTGTGCTTACAGTGGCTGATAGCCCGCTGGTCTTTGCAGCTAGCCTAGATGAAGCTGGTTCCTAGGCCAGGTGGAGAGGGGGAGGCACAGAGCAGGTTGAGCTGCCACCATATTTTCAACGTCATTCAATCATTTTTCTGAAGTAAATATTTCCAGGTTGTTGTAAGACTTTGGTTAATTTCCAGAGTTCCAGGGAGGTTTATTCTGACCATGTTGGCCAGGGTCCTTACTGTTTTCATGGGAGAGTGGAGTTTTCACCCCATCGCTCTGCGAGTCTTCTCTTGAAGAAGGGCGTTACTAGCAAGTGTGTAGGACTGATAACCATATTACTAAGTTCTTGTTGGATCATTGAGCAGAACTGTTTGCAGTGTCATTTTTTGAATATCACTTTGTATGCTTTAATTTTGTAACTTGAGCAACTATTCCTAAGATGATGGTATGTGTAACTTATCAACTAGTGATTTCTTACTGTTTATTTTTCTGAAATTCTGTATTGTTTCTACCTTTTTATCTTTTTTTTCTTTAAATAAAAAAAGAAGGGTGTTATTTTGATTCAGTTCTACAGTTTTGTTTGCTTTCTTTCTACTCACGAAGCAAAGTGCTTATTTCTTTTTTTTCTCCTATAGTAAGTAAATTACAAAAGTCAAAAGGAAGATACGAAAAAAGACTATTTTCTACATGTTTCCCTGGCTACCGTGCTAGGCGCAAAGTGGACCTAAACTGTTTCTTTCCCAAAAAAGTCAGTATAAATCCAGCTGCAGTCTTTCTAGGTCTATGCTAGTCATGAAGTGATGGGGCTGGAGATATGTTTGATCAAGAGTAGGGAAGAGCATATGTGACAGCCCAAGAAAAGGGGGAGTCTGTGCCTGAGTTTCCTAGGAGAAAAGAACAGAGCTTCCAAACACAGCAGGTATGTGATAATTCCTCAACCCTAATTTCACTTGGGCTGGCATTTACCATGTCTCAACATGGTAAATGGTAAATCTGCTTTCTTCAGATAGCAAAGGTTGGGGTTGATGATATGCAAAATACAACCATCATCTGTACATTCCCCAAACTGAAACTGGTAGAGGATCATTGGTGACAGGTAACTAGTGACTGATGACTCATTCCTGGTGGATGTCTTGGGCCAGTTCCGGGAGGCTCTGTGTTTTCAGGAGGGGCGGGAAGAAGATTTGCATGTGTGACCTCACACAGAAGTTCCCTCTCAGAGCATAAAAGGAGAAGGAGACTCTCAAGGAGAGTCCATCGTGATCAGCAGTCCCGGTGTTAGACTCCACACTTGGCAAACCTCGAAGGCTATGGCAGGCCTCCGCTCTGTGTTTCTGTCACTGGGGCTATTACTGTACCTCGGACTACACTTTTCTCTTGCCAACTCTACAACCAGCACCACAGAAACTAGTACCACGCCAGAAGCCAGCAACATCTCCACAGGTGAGTAAAAGCCATTCTTTCTGTTGTGTTTTGATCTCTAGGGGATAGGAACCAGAATTTCAGGAAATATCCCTCTTTCCCACTCTCAGTTCCACAGAACAATGTCTTTGAACCAGACGGGAGGTAGGAGAAGAGAAAGGGGAATGTGTGTGAGGCTGGATCCAGGGGACTATTTTTGCATAGCTCTGTCCAGCACTGAGCCACAGAAGGCATAAAGTTGCAAAACCCAGATTAAACAAAGCCCCAGCCAGGGCCGCTTGGAGTGCATTCCCTGACTTCAGCAAGGGGAGATAATACCTGCACCACAGGGCACACAGTCTTTCACATCCACTGACAGAGCTGTGCCACATAGCTGTCACCAGACGGCGCAACTCCAGGAAGTACTGCTTGATTTTTTTCTGTATGAGTAAAAAAACTCATGACCTAGACAGCAGAGAAAACATTACCGTCCCACCTTCGATGCGAGGAGCCTGAAGCCATCTAGTTCAGTGGCTTACTTGGGATCTCACCGCTATGAAGTGGCAGAACCAGTTTTTTCATTCCCAACCCAAAGCTTTTCTTAGGCATGTCTGGGAAGCATTTATAAATGCCCCTTCTGGGGTCAGTGAGACCTACCAGCCAAGGAGCATCACAGCAACATTTGCTTTGTACGTATGAGTGCATTCAGTCTTCATACTGACCTTCCAGGTAGACTTCATGATCATTCCCATTTTGTAGATCTCCAAGCAGAGGCACAGATGCTAAGCAAAGCATGCAGGTCACAAACCCCCTGCATTGTGGAGCTGAGATAGAAACCAGCATTCCAGTTTCAGTGACCTTTCCCCTTCATGGCACCGCTCTTGATTATACATAATAAGAAGAGCCTATTATTTCCACTCTATCCTGGGTATTGTTCTAGTGGCAAATACCATTATCTTCTCTTTTTACAAGAAAGAGCTGAGGCAATGGAGAGGTTAAAAATTTACTCAAGGTCATTAGACTGCAATAACAGCCAAGATCCGTCCACTTTCAGACCCTGTCTTCTTAAAAGACTAAACAAATTTTGCAGAGACCACCAGGGTGACAGTCATACTCAGGCTCTACAGATCCCTAGACCTTGCAAGTGAATGGTGCCACAATTCCTGGCTTATCTTTTCTTTGAGTCTTTTCTTGGGTTTGTCACTAAGTGCTTCTGTTGTGACAGAGCTAATGATGTCCCACTCCCTCAGGCAGTGAACCTTGTGCTACCAGAGCAGGAAGGATAATCTTGTAATTCAAGATGGGTTATGCCCATGTCTAGGGATGATACCTAGATGGATGATGATATCTAGATGGATATATGAATGATAGATAGATATAGGAGATAGATAGATATCTCTCTATATATAAATGACCTGAGGAATCACAAGCATTACTGCACGAGACATTACAGGTCTCTGATGAGACATAGCATGTCAGGAGATGAAGAATTTTGTTACTAGAATGGGAGAAAGAGAAGTCTGTTTTATGAAGATCCGGTGACAATGTGGGAGCCTTCCCAAAGGAAGGAGACAAGAAAAGGAAGACGTGGGTAAAAGAGCGGTCGCCAGCAGTTACAGAGGTGCCAGGGAAGCCAGGGAAAGGATGAGGAAAGGGTTTCGGGCTCTGTGAACGCCTGCCTCAGGTCCCCAGGACCATAGACCTGACCTCTGCTTCTCTGCAAGGTAACCGCAGACACCCAACCTCGGGCCAGGTCCCTGCACGGGAAAGTGACCAGTGCCCCACAAACTAGAGTAAGAGGTCAGGATTTGGACACACCGTCCAAACTAACTTTACAGCAGAAATGGCAGTCCTCAGGACTGGCTGATGCTGAGTTCTGATAAGCCCTTGAGGTTAGCCAGAACATTAAAATTATGCTCTTCTGAATCAGATTACACTAATTAATCTAAAATATTAAGGACCTGAAGACACCCCGAGCCAAAGATAAATCCAGTTGTATAAATTCAGTAGGTGTCCCCCTCACCTTACAAGACCGCGCAGACTTCAAGGGTGTCTCCGTGGACCTCACCCTCTGTAGCCTCGCCTGTTCCCCTTCTACATGCCCCTGACCTTTTACTGCAGAAATGTGGAGTGACTTGTACTCTTGAACTTTGGCTCCAGAAATCTATCCAGTTAGCTTCTTTTCTAGTGCCCACCCACTGGGCTAGAGAGATTCTGACACCACTGTTTGTTTGTTCCAGATACAACTACACCCTCAATCACAACAGCCACAACCACAGCCCAAACCAACACATCCCTAAACGAGACCACAACAGAAAATGAGACCCTGACAGGCCAGACCGAGTCCACAACCCAGACCAAGCCGACAGCCCCCACCACGGCCACAGCCCAAAATGAGACCACAACCAAAAGTCTGGCTGTGCGAGCTTTCAGCAGCCCGATGGCAGGCGCCATTCACATCCTGCTCGTTTTTCTAACCAGCAAGCTCCTCTTCTAAGCAAAACAAGGAGAGCAATTGCTCGACTTCCTGGACAGCCTCCCACGCTGAGGCCAGGGCTTAACTCCGGGTGGATGAAGGCTTCACATTCTCAGGTGGTGCCACTCCATTTGCGCTGTCTCAGGCCAAGGCCTGGGGCACTCCTCGTGGGCGTGGCTCACAGCAATGTTCAGCTGGATCTTCCCGAAGACAAAGGATGCTTTTTGTAAATGCACAGACCTGGCCCAGTGATAGCCTGGCATCCCGCCTCTGAGTGTACCATCTGACGGTCAATGGGAACTTCTGATCACAGCCAAGGGGTTCCTCCCTACTTTTGGAAGAAGACTCTTTCCTTACAATCAAGATGATCTGATCGCAGATTTCTGACCAAAACCCACTCAGATGACACAGAATCCCTGTGACTGTGTGACTCAAGAAGAAGGGAGAAATAGCTTTGAGGGAACGGCAGCTTCCTGTCTTATCCCTGAGAGCAGATCCCAACGAGCAAGGGATAGGACGGTGCTGTTTCTGAGCAGCCAATGACAGGAAGAATTACGAGCTTTGTTCTAAGTCCAAATAAATGATGCTTGAAATAAGATTGATTGTATTAAATTTAAAGTTGTCTTTAATGAGTGATTAACTTAGAATTGAGAGAATGTTATAAAATTACACACACATATATATGCATATATATATATATATATATATATATATATATGTAACTTTTTTGGTTTTGTTTTTTTGAGACAGGGTTTTGCTATGTCGTTCAGGCTGGGCTTGAACTCACTACACAGCCCAGTCTGACCTCAAGCTTGTAATGACCCTCCTGCTTCAGCCCCCCATGTGCTGGAATTATAAGCATGCGCCACCAGGCCTGGCTCAAATCATATGGTATTTATGTATTTAAAAACTAATGAAATTATGTATATGTGTATTTTTTTTCAAGGCCAAACAGGTAAATTTATCTATTTTCATTTGCCTCAACTGCCTTAAAGTGGTCACTTTCCTCCCAATAGTGATTTTCACTAAGAAATAGACAACCTACTTACACTTATAATACAGTGCACAACTTTTAAAAAGCATGGCGTGTCTAGGATTAAGCTTGTAATAAGTGATAAAGTTCTCTTTCAACAATTTGACTAAATTCCAGGGTGCCAATATATTTTTCTCTACTCCCTAAAACTGTGCGCCTTTTTAGTGTCCTGATGCCAGCCTTCCACTGCCCCTTAGAATGCCATCGTGATTTTCCACACGACTCCCTGTTGTCTGTAACTGAGTCTCCTACCAGCTCTTAGCCAGTTTATTCACACACGCTTGGCTTAACTGAGTTACTGTCTTAGAATCAGGTCATCTGGGATTCTTTATTAACCTCCAAAAAAAACCACTAGAGAGAAAAAAATATACAACTAGTCTTCCCCCGCAAGATCAAACACCCGAGCGTGGGACGGGTTCACAGGGCAGCCCTGCAATGTGCCATTTCAAAAGGGACCAAGCAGTTTGAGAGTGATACAAACTGAAATTTTAGCTGGGCATGATGCACACACCTGTAATCCCTGCCCTTGCACAGCTGAGTCAGGAGGATCACTGCGAGTTTGAGGCCAGCCTGGCTACCCAGTGAATTCAAGGCCAGTCTGAACAGCATAGTGAGACCCTGCCACCAGAAACAAAACAAAAAGTGACAGCATTTGGACTCAGCACCTTCAAACAGTTGAGGCAGCTGAGATGAAGGTGTTAGGATGTTAGGGTGCAACAAACCTCCAGTCTCAACCGCCTGCGGACTGGTGGCCTGGGGAAAACCCCAGCTCCCGGCTTCTTTCACCATCCTGTTCACGAGGTTCGCTCCACAGCGCCCCTGAGGGAGGAGCAGCAACTGTTCCCTCAAAAGGCCCAGGAATTCCATGGCATGAGGAAAAGCCCTTAAATGCCCATCTGATCAATGTTATCTTACATTTCATTACCTCTAATATTAAGTGCCATGAGCAGTATTCTAGTTTTTAATACCTCAAAAGTCCCAGCTCTTCTGGTTTGCTATGTTTTGGTTTGGGAGTAGGAGAGATTGAAACCAGGGGCATCTTACCAGTAAGCCATCTCCCCAACACTTTTATTTTGAGGTAAGGTCTTACGAAATTGCCCAGGTTGCCCTTGAAGTTGCGATTCTCCTGCCTCAGCCTCCTGAGTAGCTGAAGTTCCTGCTTTTGTTAACATTTTCACCGCCACCCTTAGGAAAAGTAAAAAGGGGATTTTACCATGGTCTAATCATTCAAACATTTGTCTGATTTTGATAATAGCTATCCTCTACAGCTTCAGATTTATCCAGCAATAAATATTTATTAATCAACTACTACAAGACAGGTATTGTTCTGGGCTCTTGAACAAAGCCAAGATTCTTTTCCTAATGGATCCCCATCTCCAGATTCTCTCACATTGTTATCAATCTTCAATCATTGTCTGCAGGTCAGTACTGTTAGGTGACTTCACACTGCTGTGTGAAATCCTTACAGACTGGCCCTATCCTAAAAGTTACTCGATTGTTCTCACATTTAAAGATCAGAAAACTGAAATTCAGAGAAGTTGCTTATCTAGCCTCAAACACAGAGCTAGCGAGAGGCAGGGCAGGAAGACAGACCTGCTCTGAAGACGGCTTTCTCGTTTAACCACCACGTTCTGGTTTGGCCTTGAGCTTACCTAGCTGAGTGAGGAGAAACAAGAGCCCCGCTTCATACGTGAGTGTTTGCTGGTCACACTAATCACAGGAGTGATCACTGCTCAGCAGCCGCAGCCGTATCAGGGTCTCTGAGCTTATTCTCCGGGGAGTTTGTTAAATGCCTTCAGTCTGAACAGTGAGGTGTTTCAGTCACGTTGGGGAGATGCCAGCCAGTACTTCCTTAGTCTCTTCCTCCCTGCCTCTCCTCGCCTTCCGGGGCACACAGATGCCTGCGTTGGTACAGCTGATGGTCCTCCACAGGTCTCTGAGACTGTTCTTTATTTTTTCTTCCTGCCCCTTAGGCTGGAGAATTTCAGCTGGCCTGTCTTCAAGTTCACTGATTCTTTGGTCTTTCCAACACGCTATTGAATCGGCTAACAAGTTTTTAATTTTAGCTATTATGCTAAAAAATTACTTGCTTTCTGGTTATAACTTCTATCTCTCCATTACTACGTTCTGTTATTCAGGCATCACTCTCCTGGTTTCTTTAGTACTTCAGTCAAGATTTCTTCCTGTTCTTTGCATATACATCTTGAAGACAGTTGACCTAATACCTTGTCTAGTAAACCCTATTACTGGACTTGGGGGACAGTTTCTATCTTTAAGTGGATCATACTCTTCTGTTATTTTGTGTCATATTTTTTGTTGAAAATGGATGTTTGGGCTGGGGATTTAGCTCAGTGGCATAAGCACCTGCCTGGCAAGTGCAATGTCATGGGTTCATCCCTAGTACCAAAAAGAAAAATGGATGTTTATGATGCGGTAACCAGAGATTGGATTCTCAGACCCTCACAGCGAGGTTTCCTACTGATGCTGAGAGTTGCAGCCATTTGCTTTCTAAGCTCTGTTTGCAGAGACTGCATTCCTCGTGTGTGGTCACTTGTCTCCTTCTGTTACATCAGTATTCAGACAATAATCTTATAGACTTTTTTAAATGCCAGCGATTAGCAGCTTGTTTTTTTCATTAAGCATTTCCTGTTAGCTCTAAATTTTTGTTGTATTCTAGAGTTCTGAGAAAGTTGATTCTGACAGTTTTTGTCAGCTTCAGAGTTGCATTAAGGGCTCAGTACTTGGAAGAGTTCCACAAATGTCTTCAACAGCACTGAGTAACTACCATTGTTTCCCACCAGCCCTTTGCTAAACACTGTATATTCATAATCTCCTTCAATCCCATACTAAGCCTACAAACTATCTTCATTTCACACGTGAGGACACTCAGCTAAGAAAGAGAAACAATTTCCTGGGGTCACTCAGTGAGTCAGGCTGGGCTTTGAAAACTGATCTATACCACCTCGGAGCCCAGTCCTGATCCAGGACGCCCTGGAGGCTTCTGAGTTACTCCCGAGTCACCTGGGATTCTCCCGGAACAACTGGCTCCCCAGGTCTCAGGACCAGGGGCAGGTGTGGGCTCTCCTGCTGACACAACAAACCGCCTGCTGGCTCCAGCTGACTCCCCAGCCCCCACCGCCCAGGTAAACTGCACTGAGTCAGACCCAACCTGCTGGAAAGAGTTTCTATTTATCTTTCAGGGCTCAACTTAGCCTCATCTCAGGTTCAGCATGGAAGGTATGACAAATATTAACCTGGCTACAAGCTGGCACCCAGCAAAGATATTCTATGAAGATAGGAAATTCTGAAGAGTCAAAAAAAAAAAAAAAATCTGAGCAGAATTCATAGAAGCAGTACAAATAAGAACACTGGATTAGCAGACAGAAAATTGTTATAACCTAAGCCCCCCTAACTATCCTAAGGTCTGTTCTAAGGTATAAGCCCACCTGCTGCTTCCCCTCCCCTTCTCCCTTCAAATTTAACTAGGTTAAGTTTTAACTTCCTAAAGGCCATAAAACAAAGGCCTGAGGTAATAGCTCCTGACAACCCGGGTCTTCCCTACCCAAAAAGACCCGGTAGCCCGTCACAAGTTGTGTTAATTGCATTAGATTGTATTAGATTGTACATTCTTCACAAAAATAGCTTCGTTTGTATCACAGTAATACCTGTAACTTGGCCTTACTGTAAATGTGTGTTTTCCTTTCCCTCTGGGCAAAGGATTGATATGTTAATCAATGCTCTCCTCTGTAAAAAATTGTAAAATCTTACCTAATTGATATGTTAACCATTGTTGCCCACTACAAATAGAACAGTTGTGGTGCTAAAGTAAGGTAACTAAGGTTGTTAATTGCTGTTAGGCCTCTCTATTCTTTGCTAAGGAAAACAAGATTTCTTCTTATCTAAACTTGCTAAGTATGCAGGGAGACTTGCAATTGCCTTTTCTGCTTTGTAGTGCGTCACACCCCCACCCCCCTCCTTACATTGTGTGACCAGCAGCCGTTTGTGGAGTTACAAGATAAAAAGTCCTGACTTTTAGCTGTGAGGTGCGCAGTCTCCAAATTGGCTCCCGGAGACTCGTCACCAGGCCTGGATTTTACCTAATAAAGCCTTTGCTTCTCAAATTTTAATTTCTTGCTTTCTTGGATTTTATACCGGGGTCCGAGTTATCACAAAAATGTGTTAAAATCTACCCCTACCAAGTGGAAAGACTGAAATGTGTGTGTATGCATAAGTGGGAAATAATTTAACATATGCTAAAATATCTCCATATTCATCTGCCTGTGTTACACATATGATCTCTTGAGTCTGACGAACTCAAGGCCTTGGAAAGATTTCTGGGTCATATTCCACTTCACTTTGCTCATTTGTTAGATCAGGGTTGGCCCAGCTGTTCCTGCTGTTTGTTAGGTTTGGGGTCTTTGTCATATCCAGATCTAGTTCTAAGAGTTTGTTAAACAGGCGATACTTTACACCACATCTGACCAATAAATTAGGGTGGTGAGGAGCACTTTTGAGGATTCAAAAGCAAAACAGGGGCTCAGAATTGTGAGTACCATATTGCACCA